CTCAGGACGAGGCCTTCGAGCCGAGGAGCCACCCGCAGGGGTGGTACTACCTCTTGGGGACGGGGCCTCTGTAACCAAAGGCCACGCCTACAAGGGCGGGGCCTAAGAGTTACGGCGAAACCTCGAAAAAGGTGGGGTACTAGTAATTGGAGTGAGGCCATCGGGCGTCAAGTGTGGGGGCTTCTGTCTAAGCCCTTTCAGGATTGGGGAGGGGGTCTTTAAGATTTGGGTGGAGCGGGGGTGGAGGAAGCTCTCCCATAGGGGCGGGGTTTGAGGTGTGACAGGGGCTCTGAAATCCCCGTAGGAGGTGGGCGTGGCCCCGAGAAGTGGGTGGGGCTTCCCCATAGGCGGGGCCTCTGACGTCCCCGATGGGGATAAACGAGGCTCCCGTGGGTGTGGCCTACTCGGGGCGTGGCCTTCTCGGGGGCGGGGCCTACCACCGAGATGTGGTTCAGCTTCTTGGCCAGGTGCTCCAGGCCGTCCTTAGCTGTCTGCATCGCCCGCAAGGTGCGCTCCAATTTATCACGTGCCTCACTGTGCCTCTGCTCCTCGGCCTTGAGGCGCCCCTGTGCCTCGGTGAGCAGCTTCTGCTGGCTGTGAGGAGCCCGGACAGAGGAGGTGGGCTGGGCCCACCCCAGCCCCCACGCCCTCCCTCGGGGCGGCAGGCTCACCTGACCAGCGTGGCCTCCCCAGAGTACTTGAGGTCCTCCAGCTCTCGCTGCAACCTCTGCTTCTCCTGCTTCAGCCTCAGCAGCATCTGCTCATTCTCTGTCTTGAGTGTCTCCAACTGCTTGAAGGTGTCGCCCTGGGCCAGGAACCGCCGCACCACGGACTGCGGGCCACCCAGACCCAATCAGAGCCCGCCTAGCGAGGCCCCGGTGCGCAGCCTCCGGTCCCCACTTCTCCCAGCTAAGGGCAGGTGGCCTAAGCTAGTGGCTTTTCCACAGTGGTGGGTGGGGACTTTGTGGGGGCCGTCTCTGGGGTGCGTAAGCATGCAGAAACCATTTTTGTGGGGCCCTTCCTCAAAGGGGTCTTCCAAAAGTTCACGGGAAATGTGTTATATGAAAAAAAAAAAAAAACGGATTTCAAACTTTTTTTTTTTCACTAAAATAAAGTCCTAATTCCATTCCATTTTTTCACGAATATTTTGAAGGTGGACCCTCTTTTATTTTTTCATTTTCTAGAGGGTGTGTATTCTCGCTGGAGAGGGACAATGAGACCGCAGCCCCCCTGGGTGACGGTCACGCTGCAGTCCCTTCGCCTTTTCTCCTTTTGGGATGTGAGGCATGCACGCGTACCTGGCGTGTTTCAAACTACCAGGGCTGGGATTCAAACTGGTCAGCTATGTGGGACCAGACTCCCTTACTCCTGAGGCTATGGGGTCAGCCCTGAAGAGGGACTCGTTTTTAATTTTAGTTTTTTATTTTTGCTATAGGGTGTATGAACTCAGTGGGGAGGGAA